AATTCTGGTGGGGCCAGAAACAAGTTTGTTACTATAATAAAAACCCCAATATAAATTGGCATAGGAAAGAGGCAAGTTATTTTTCTTTCAGGGCTCAGAATGGATATGTTACCTCTATATATCAAACACCCAGCAACCCTTTATGCAATGGCTCTACCACACTCACCGTGTGTCTTTCATCCCTGGATCTCATATGGTATGTGATTTGGGCATAGTTTCAGTTTTACCCCAAAGGCACATGTGTTAGAGGCAGGATCCCCAACATATTGACATAAATGATGAAGGAAACAGCCGAGTGTGGTACTGGGGCCTGAACCCAGGGCTGCAGACATGCTGGGCAAGGCACTGTAACACTGACAACATCCCCATCTCTTGATGGTCCATGTTAGAGTCAGAGTCCATGGAGGACTCAGTACTCATTGGGACAATACCCACCCTTAGGCTCTAAAGTGTAGAGGGGATTAATGCACTGTTGTAGGATACTGGCTAGGCCTTGAGGGAAGGTAATAAGGTTGTACTGCCCATGCTGCCTGGTTTCTCATCCCTCCCTCTTATACAGGATCCTGCCCTGTGGTACCATCTGCCACCAGAGTGTCGCCAGAGCCGATCAGAAGCCAGCATCACACTGAAGCTACTCAGTCTCAGGTGTTTTATTATGGGGACAGAAGATAGACTAACGGCCTCTCTCATGGTCAAATTCACCGCTAGCTAGCAGCCTTGGGCCTTTTTCTAGAGTCACAGAAAAACAGACCCACGCAATCTCTCACTCTCATATTTACCCCTAGACAGCAGAACATGGGGAAGCAGAATGAGACTCCTTGACTTTTATGGATATGATCAGTAGATTATTGCCATAATTTTCTTTTTTTTTTTTTTTTGAGGTTTTTTGAGACAGGGTTTCTCTAACTTTGAAGCCTGTCCTGGAACTCACTCTGTAAACCAGGCTGGCCTCAAACTCAGAAATCCACCTGTCTCTGCCTCATGAGTGCTGGGATTAAAGGCGTGCGCCACCACCTCCCAGCTAATGTCACGTCATAATTTTCACTTAAATTTTATTAACCTAACCTTTGCAGCATCTCTCCAGTTAGCTGCAAGGGAGGCTGGGAACCATGGTCAGTCTTCTAGGAAAGTATCCTGCTAATCAGAGCTTCTATTATCAGACAGGGCTGCAGATTTGGGAAGTAACCAGCAGAATTTAGCACAATGTCTTCTAGCTGGAACCAGAAGAGAATGCTACAATCCAGACAGTGGTTCTTAGCCAGAAGCAGCTTGGTTCACTGGGGGACATTTGACAATGTCAGGCTCTCACACCAGGATCATGTACACAGCTAGCATTCAGCAGGAAGATGCTGGTACATCCTACCCCGCACAGTTCAAGCCGCCTACAGAGACCCTGTGTCACTAATACTATCTACAGTACAGAAACGGAGATACCCTGATTCAGGGTCTGTCTCTACAAAGCCTCAGCCCACCATGCATGAATAGCAAGCATCTCTTAGCTTTCATCACATGCTTTCCTAGAAAAGTATGCTTATAGGTAAGATGTAGACAACAGGCCTGAACTCCAGCAACACAGAATCAGAACTCTGCGGCACTGTGGCCATCATTCTCCCACAGAAAGCCAGTGCAAAGCGCTTGTATATAGTTCTGCAGTCTCTATCACCAGCTCCGTTCAGTTCTAGAAAAGAGATTTTCCTCCCTGGATTCTCAAGCTAGTTAATAATATATGATCTCTCACCAATGCTCGGGAAAGGAGGAAATTTATTCAATTAAAGGCAAGTGCAATTTTGTATAATTAGTCATAGTCTTCTTCATAAGAAATAAAAATAATTTGTTTTTAGTAAGAAGGAACCCATAATTACTCAGCGAGAAGGAAAACACATTTATTCATACGTCATGTTTGCTCTAAACGGCGAAGTGCATCGCAGCTCTCGCTGTGAGACTCAGGCATGGAGGATGGGGACCCGAGCGCTAAATCTTGTCATTTCTGGTTCTGATAACCTGCTCTAATGATAGATTAAAAATGCAGTTGGGCATTTCAGAATATAAATCTCTAATAACCAACCTCAGAGAAGGCACCAAACCCTCCAGAGAGATTTCTAGCATGAGACAACGACACTGCTTTAAAAAAACAACAATTTAGGATTAGTGATGTACGTTGTCACCCATTCGGCCAGCGGAAGCGGAAAATGGCATGGTTGCTACGGTGACCACTTGGAAATCGTGTTCTATAAATCTATGTAATCTACTTCCGGATGTTCTCCCCTGGGATGAAGATATACAGCGTGTCAGCCATGTATCACAGAGCCCTTTTCTTATTTAAGGTTGTTACTTAGACACCAGACATTTTTCTTAGAGACAGAGACAAGCATATTGTCCTTCACTGCCTATTCTCCTGGGTCACAGCACTTTCCTTCTCAGGCTTTCATGGAGTTTTATTTGTGGTGTGTGTGTCATATGTGATGTGTGTACATGTGTGTGATGTGTGCACGTGCATGTGTGTTGTGTGATATGTGTGTGTTGTGTGTACATGTGTGTGATGTGTGTACATGTGTGTGATGTATGTACATGTGTGTGATGTGTGTACATGTATGTGTGTTGCGTGTGATATGTGTGCATGTGTGATGTGTGTGCATGTGTGTTATGTGCGATGAGTGTACATGTGTGTTATGTGTGATGTGTGTACATGTATGTGTGTTGTGTGTGATATGTGTGTGATGTGTGTACATGTGTGTTATGTGTGATGTGTGTACGTGCATGTGTGTTGTGTGTGATATGTGTGTGATGTATGTACATGTGTGTTATGTGTGATGGTGTCCGTGTGTAGGATGTGTATATGTGTGTGTGGTATGTGTGTGATGCGTGTACATGTGTGTGTTGTGTGTGGTATGTGTGATGTGTGTACACACGCATGTGATATGTGTACATGTGTGTGTTATGTGTGATGTGTGTCCATGCATGCGTATGTGTACATGTAAGTGGGTATGCAGATACCATGGTGTAGCATGTGGACATCAGAAGGAAACTTGTGGGAGTTGGGTCTCTTCTACAATGTGGGCCCAGTGCTCAGGTACTCTGGTTTGGCAACAAGCAATACGGTGGGCCATATTGCCAACCTAATGGTCTCTGTTCTTAACACTTGATTTCATCAGGCTAGAAAGACGGCTCAGTGGTTAAGAGTACAGGCTGCTCTTCCAAAGGTCCCGAGTTCAATCCCCAGCACCCTCATAGTGGCTCACAAAGGTCCAATGCCCTCTTTCTGGAGTGCAGATGTACATGCAGACAAAGCATCTATGCATAAAATACACAAATAACTAAATCGTGAGAAAAAACCCTCGATGTCACAGTACAGCACCTATTCTGTTCACACTTCAATGTTTAAATCTACCGCTGTGTTCTTCACTACTGGTCTTTCCAAACCGCAAAGTTTCTCCAAGAAATTTTTCATTTTAAAAAAAAATGCATGCTGGCTTGCAGTTGCCGTGTAACCTAGGATTACGTAGGGAGGTCGTCTCCCAGCTGAGCTCCATCCCCAGTCCATCGTATCTTATACTTTATTCTTTATATGGTACTTGGTTCAGCTCACTACATAAATAATACATATTCATTGATTTGTGTGTTTTTAGATTTATTTAATAATGTGGCTGCGGATCACGCTCTTGGAGTCAGATTTATAAGCATTTGTGAGACAACATACAGCTATATTGTTCTGTGGTGGCATAAAACAAATTTTAATACAAACAAATAGAGAACAGACTACTGGATTTTATGAAGTGGTGAGATGCTGATTGATTAAGATAATCTAGGTCATATCTGTCAGTAAGTACATAACAACCTTTAACAGAGTCCAAGTGGAGGGTTAGGGTTATTGGCATTGCAGAGGCTGCCCTCATCCCTGTTCACTGATGGAAGAAGCATAGCCGTGGTACCAGGACACAGCCTGGGAGCCTTGGCCAATCTTATCACCCACCAGCATGAATGAGAAGTTATTTTACCCCAGTGAGCTTCGCTTGCCTTGTGTGTCCATGGGGACCCCAATGCCTCTATTCAAGGCCATGGTCTCACTTTCAATGAGCTGTCCTATAAGACACACAGCACACAGCTAGCTCGGAGCCCTTGGGTGATAAGCGGTAGAAATCAGCCCGACCAGTCTGGTGGGGGAGAAAAGCGCATTTGTTAGAATGATCACGGGCTCTTTACAGAATCCAGGCAGAGGTCAAACAGCTGTATTTCAGACCTGGGGACTCTGGCTTCACCGTGGCAGGAAGTCCTAACGGTGTTCCAGGCACAATCTCCTCTGTGGATAACTAACCATGTTTTCACCCACTTTTGATTTCTGGAAGGTTTGCATTCCCACGAGAAAGAGATTTGTTGTTCTGGGTTAGGTGACCTGGTTTTTAAGGGGTGGGAGATTGTGTTAAGTCTTTGGCAGCCTTACCAGACCTCCAGAAAAGTGGGGGAAAAAATGTCAGGTAAAACAGAAATCTCCTACAATGGCACTTGGTACTTAGTAACTGTCATTCCTTGTGGTTCTCCCATTTGAACCCTGCTTTATATCCTGCAGAGTGTGTAACACTATGCTTTCTAGTCAATTTAATATATATGTAATACTTTTTTAAAAAAAGATATATTTATTATATATACAAGGTTCTGCCTGCATGCATACCTGCGGGCCAGAAGAGGGCACCAGATCGCATTACAGATGGTTGTGAGCCACCGTGTGGTTGCTGGGAATTGAACTCAAGACCTCTGGAAGAACAGCCAGTGTTCCTAACTGCTGAGCCTCCTTGTATAATACTTTTAAACTTAAAAAAAAACTACTCTCTCTCTCTTTCTGAGTGTCCTGTGCCTCACCTTAGATATTTAGTGTGTATGTGTATAGTGTGTGTGTGTATTCCTACATGTACGTGTGCTTGTTGCATAGGTGCACATGTATGTGCACATGTGCAGAAGGCAGAAGATAACTTCAGGTGTCATCTTCAGTTGCTGTCCACTATGGGTTTTTTTTTTTTTTTTTTTTGAGATAGTGACTCTCATTGTCCTGTGTCCCAAGAAATAGACTAGGCCAGCTGACCAGCAAGCACGGAACCTCTGCCTCTGGCACCCCAGTGCTCGCCACCACCACAGCTTTTGTAAACCTGGCTTCTGGAGATCAAACTGAGGTCCTCATGCCTTCAAGGCAAGCGCCCTGTCCACTGTACTCTCTCACCAGCCCTCTTCCGAGACCCTTTCCACAGTGTCATCATTAGGCCCACGATCCTTGTACTCTCTCATCAGAACCAGCTTGCTTGCCAGCTAACTGTACCTGATTGATCTTCCTTCTGGCGCCAGCCTCTCTATCACCTTAGCTCTTCTTTGTCAATGACTTCACCTCTGTGTCTACCTCCTAAAACTATCTAGGAAAAAAACCACTCAAGGCAGCATTTCTGTGCACACAACCAACTTTCTAGCTTTCCAGCTTGCTTTCTCAACTATTTCCACGGAGCCTTTTGCCTCTTCTGGTCTGAATTTGAGATGCCACATGTAGGGTCACATGTTTGAAATAATAGGTCTCCACCTGGTGGCACTGTTTGGGAAGAGATGGACACTTGCTGGAGGAAGTATGCCACTGGGGAGTAGACCATAAGGTTTTACAACCCTGTCCTCCTTCTGGTTCCCTCTCTCCGCTTCCAGGCTGTCAGTAAGTGTGACCGCTGGCCTCATGGTCCTGCTGCCACGCCTTCCCCACTAACATGGACTGCATTCCCTGGAATATTCTGTAGGTGAAAATAAGCCCTTCCCTCCTTAAGTTGGTCTGGTCGGTATTTCGTTTCACCAGTGTGTAAAATAATAAGACATTGTCTCTCCCTTTTTTACTGTCTTCTAAACTCAGACTGAGCTCCATGCTCACATCATTCAAGGTACTTCTTCAGCATCTACCTTCTACACCAGAGTCTAGACAGCGTGAGGGGAGCGTCTGATCTTCATCCCGATTCTCCCAGGCACAAAGTGATGGTATACACGTCCTGAAGATCTCCCTCCTGCATCCGTGCGCTCTCCATGAGCTATCCCAAACTATCCCATCGCGGTCCCCAGAAAGGAAGGAGACGGAGATCTTTCCTTGTGCTCATGAAATAGGTAATGCAATCCAGTTTTTCTCAGCTTTGTTTTCTCTCCAGTCAAGCACGTTGGCCTGGGTCCTCACAAACACCAGTTGACCTTCCATTATAGCAAAGAAGTACTAATCCAATATTAACAATAAAGAAACTTGAAAATAGCTGGTCATATATAGTTTTAGGTGTAGGTTTCCGCTCACGCATGTGGACCCGTGACTGTGATATATTTTTACTGTAGGCATTCTTTGAGATGGGGTTTTCTATGTTGTACAGGCTTGTCTTGAACTTACTGCTTGAAGCAACAGTGCCATCTCCACCTCCCATGAAGCTGTCATGCCCAGATTGCAATGTATTTTAAAAAATGTTAAGTATAGGGGGCTGGAGTGATGGTGGCTCAGCAGTTAAGAGCAATGACTGCACTTCCAGAAGACCTAGGCTCATCCTAACGACAGTTCAGAAATATCTGTTACTCCAGCTCCAGGTGATCCAGTGCCCTCTTATGGTCTCTGTGGGCACTGCATGCAAGTGGTACACAGATATACTTGTAGGCGAAACACCTGTGCACATGAAATAAAATAAGAATAAATTTAAAAGGCTAAAAAATTTAGCATCACCTTTCTAAATTAAGTGAGTGATTTTGTTACTGAAGGTATTCTTGGATTGTGTAGTGTAACTAAAGATACCTGTATTTCTTGGTGTCTGACAAAATTCCGGCATCTTTCGGATGCTGTCTTGTTATTTCTGTTAGTTGTAGAGTGCTCCCATTTCTCTGTGGTAACTGAGATCTGTGAGGCACCTCGTGGAGGTTCGGCATCCCGCATATCCATTTCTTTATGATTCGATCCTTTATCCATGGCTTCGCTACATCTCTCAGGACTGCATGCACATGGGAGACTGGGGCTAGGAAGGGAAATAAGGCCGTGATTCATGGTAGGAGGGCAGCACGCATGCGTGCACACACACATGCACACATACATACACGCTCACACACATACACACACTCACACACATACATACACGCTCACGCACAAATACATACACCCTCACGCACACTCACACATGTGCACACACGCACACACACACACTCACACACAAGTGAAACAAGTATTGATTTTATAAATATTAATTCCCTCTGAGAAACTTACCCATCATGTGCTTACTGAGTTATGATAGACTATATATGAGAAGGTCTAATCAATAAGTAGAAAACGAGAAGCTGAAATTCAGACTCCTTTTTTTTTGTTTGTTTGTTTTTGTTTTTGTTTTTCGAGACAGGGTTTCTCTGTGTAACTTTGGAGCCTGTCCTGGAACTAGCTCTTGCAGACCAGGTTGGCCTGGAACTCCCAGAGATCCACCTGCCTCTGCCTCCCGAGTGCTGGGATTAAAGGCGTGTGCATCACCATCGCCTGGCTTCATACTCTATTTTAAAAAACATTTTGAAAGCATGTGTTTGTGTGTATATGTGTTCATATGTGTGTATATATGTACATACATCTGTGTGAAGGCCGGAGATAGCTGTTGAGTGTCCTTTCTTTTGTTTTTCTGTGTAGCCCTGGCTGTCCTGGAAATAACTCTGTAGACCAGGCTGGCCTTGATCTCACAGAGATCCACCTTTCTCTGTCTCCCAAGAGCTGGGGGGTCTCTTATTCAGTCTCCTACATATTTTTGAGACAAGTTCTCTCACTGAGCCTGCAGCTTATTAATTCAGCTAGACTGACTGGCCAGCGAGTTCCAGGCATCCTTCACCATCTGTCTCAGCTAACCCATCTGTGAGGTTTCAGACAAGGGTCCAAACCCAGCTCCCTATATTTGTACATCGAGCACTTTACTGATGAAGCATGTCCCTGACACCTACTTCACTTTGACAACCCTCATCTACTGTACCCCCTCTGACGTTACCATTCATCTACTGTACCCCCTCTGACATTATCACTCATCTATTGTACCCCCTCTGACGTTACCATTCATCTACTGTACCCCCTCTGACATTATCACTCATCTATTGTACCCCCTGACATTGCTGCCCCTGTTTCTGCAGACATTTATGCTGTGTGCTGGTAATGGAACCGCCATTAACTCCTGGAACATTCACAGATACCGTGGAATGTAGGTGCTTTAAAATGAGAGACATTTTACGGACATTAAAACAGTCTTGTTCTGGACAGAGTATCCCTGGGAGGCGGAAGATATGGGCACTCACGTGACCTGCTGTGACAGAGCCGCCCAGCGTCTCCCCAGTCATTGACCTTTCCTGTGAACCTCGGCGGCCATCACGGAGGGGCCATCACATTTAGTTACATTCTCGGAGCAGCTGGCTCAGCAGCCCTCAGCACCCGCACTCAGCCAGGAGCTCATCTGCCAGCAGGCAGAAGCACGGTCCAATCCTCCGTCTGGAGCAAAGCCGGTCAGGGTTTGGTCACAGGAAGTGAACTAGTGAGGACGAAAGGTGATCATTTCCACCATGGACTCGTGCCTGCATAAACAGAGAAAATGGGGTGGCCGGTGGGAAAAGTTTGGGGTAGAGGAGAGTGGAAGGGGAGGATCGTGTGGGCTCAGTGAGAGTAGCCAACCACCATTCGCAGTTCCCACAGGGACCCCCTTTACTTCTTTTCAGTGGCATCTTATGTGACAAAGCCCCCAGTACCCAAATGGCTTTAGTGTGTTTCTCTTCTGCAACCAGAGTATCCTGGCTACAGTTGTACCTGCCTCACGGCTCTTTGCAGATTGGGGATTGTGGGTGCGTGGTACGCTTTCAGAGCTCCTGGATGTGATCTTCTCTGGAACAGAACCCAGGCCACATTTTTTCCCCCAGATAAGAGGGCAGGCTCGCTGGCTAGACCAGGAAGAAATCCTAGTTTTGCCTGTGATCTTGGGCTGTCTAGCATCTCTGCTTTGATTTCCTTGTTGTCAAACACAACAGTAGCAACAGTCTTCTGTGGAGTATTTTGTTTGCTGTGAGGATTAAACACGAAGTAAGGCTGTGACTGAGGCATAGTTATTTGAGTAGCTGGTAAGACTGAGGCATAGTTATTTGAGTAGCTGGTAACCCAGCAAGGCCTTGCTTTTGCCCACATACAATTGCACCTTACACCATAAATACCTTGCCACACACAAATATGTGTGTGTAAATATAAGAGCTATGATAGCACACATATGTCTGTAATATAATAATGCATGGTTATGGTAAGACTTTTTATTTATGGACACACCTGTATACCTGTGGATGCTCAATAAACATTCACCGAGAGTTTACCGTCTCTTCGGTTTAACCCTTGACCCCTTGGTGACTTTAGTTCTTCATTATTTACTCTGAAACAGCTTCAGAGTCTTCTCAAATGCACAAGTCTTTGTAAAATGGCAGGGTAGAGACGGGAGAGTCAAGGTGTCTGAGAGAGTCAGCAAGGGAAGGGCGTGGTCCCTGGTCTCCACACTCCCAGCTGAAGAATCAGCAAGGGCAGAGTGACAAAATCAAGCCTTGAATGCACAACCCTCCTGCCCTTGTCTCCAGGGTCTGGAGATTACAGGCCTGCACTGCTGTGGCTGACCTAACAAGTTTCGCGTTTTTTCTTTTTCTTTTTTATTCAGTTTGCTTGTGGTGAAGAAAAACTGGGCAGTCATATTTCATTATGTGCTCCAAATGCCATAAGAAAATAATCAGGCGGGGTGTCTTAAATGACAGAGACTTGTCATTTAATTTGTCGTTTGTCACAGCACCAGAGGCTGGAAGTTTCTATCAAGGTGTCACGAGTGTCAGTTTCTAGAGAGGCCTCTCCTCCCGGCTTCCAGACAGCTGCCTTCCGTGCTTCCTCACAAGGCCTTTCCTCTGTGCACTGAGGGGAGAGAGGCAGAGGGAGAGGGAGGGTGCGGGGAATGGCGGGAGCAGCGCAGAGCGTGTTCCTGTGAACATTGCCCTTTGTGTCCCTTAACCCTCCTGACAAGAACAGAGTCTGATTGAATCAGGGGCTCATCATGTGACTTGTCTGGGGAGACATAAATAGATTTATTTACCCCAAATAGGAGAGCGGTGGATAGACTATAGAAAGATCCAATTAGATCTACCCTGGTGAATACATGACTTTGTTTGGGTTGCTTCTGATTCTGAGGTGGTGCACCCCCAAAAAGCTCTATCCTCAGTCACTTTTTACTTGAAATGTTATGAAACATTTTGGACAGGAGGGAAAGGGAATTTGAAACCCGGAAGAGGGTCTCCTAAAGAGCTGTGACCCCCCCCCTTCCAGAAGAGGAGATATGAGCCGCCCCATGACTATGACCACAGACCTCGCTGTTAATTTCAGTGCCATGACTTCCTGTATGTTGTCGAACCTACTCTGCTTCAAGATGGCAACGGTCATGTCAAGGAACCTGGAGGAAACAGTTATACTCCAGGCCCCACGCCTAGGGCTTCATTACGTGTAATGACTTCTCTAAAAGCTCCTACTCCAAATAAGGTCACAGTGGAGGTCAGGACTTCAACATGTCAATCTTGGGGGGTCAATGGTGGAGGTCAGGGTATCAGGTGAGGTTTGTTTTTTTTTTTTTTCTAGTTCCAGTGTCGACATATAAAGACTTACTTGATTGTGATTTGCACAGGGATCAGTCACTTTTCCGTGGCTGTGATAAACACTTGACCCAAAGCAACTTGAGGAAGAAAGGGACTTTTTGGCTCACATTCTGTATTCCATCATGGGCTGTGTGTGTGTGTGTGGGGGGGGAACCAAGGGTGGAATTCAAGGAAAGAACTTGAAGGAGAAACCAAGAGGGACTCAGCTTGCTGGCTTGTTCCCGGGCTCATGTTCAGTGACCTTTCTTATGCAGTACAGGACTCCCTGCCCAGGGGTGGCAGAGCCCACAATAGGCTGGGTCCTCCAGCATCAATCAACAGTCAAGAAAATGCCATCTCATCAAGGCAAGCCCCCAAGTTGGTTTTGCTCGGTGTTTACCATTCCATTAGAAAAACAAACTCGAACAGGATCTAGGTTTTCCAGACTGCAAAACCAAACTGAGGGCTGGGTCTCTGAAAGACAGATGAGAAACAAAACAGTCATGGTCAAATATCCCCATGGTCACATAGGTGCCACCTAGAAACGCAGAAGCCATTACACTGCCATCCAGTTTCACAGGTTAAACCTTGTGGTATTGACTCCGGCTTTCTCAGGTATGCTTTCGAGAATATACGGAGGCTGGGCATGGCCAAGGCTGTCCTTCAGAGGCCAGCACAGTGGTGCAGTGTCCTGAGCTACACTGGAGTCTTGGACATAGCCTGCCAGTAAGAGTGCCTGCAGAATGGGGAGACTCTCTTTGCTTTGAGATGCACAGCAGGTGAGTTAAGAACTATATAAAATTGAAAGAGGAAGGGCAGATCTGGGGAGGAGACAGGAAAGCAGAGAAATGGGCTTGAATGGGCAAGGCGGGTGAGGTCAAAGGGCTAACCAGCTACAGAGCAAGTTTTGGGAATATTGAGTTTTCTTATGCATGACCTGGCAGAGAGGCCAGCTTCAAACCACTGAAAAAATTTGGGCAGGTGACAAAACGTTCACAACATGTCAGGCATTATGCTTTTGCATAGCCTTTCCTGGCATCTAGGAACAAAACACACCAAACCCCAGCAGCAGTTAACAATCATTCAAAGCGAACGTTCAGTGGCTGAGGAGATCGCCCAGTCAAGTAAGCATTTGCTGTGCAAGCATGAGGATTTGATTTGATCCCCAGTCACACAAAAGCCGGTGTGGTGGTCTATACTTGTAATCCCAGCCCTGGGGAAACAGAGGCCGGTGTCTCTTGGGGGCTGGCTACCAGCCAGCCTGCCTAGCTGAATTGGTTAGTTCCTGCTTAAGAGATCCTGTCTCAAAAACCAAGATGGACAGTGCCTGAGTACCCGACATCTGTGGTTCAGAAGTCTGGCAGAACACACACACACACACACATGCATGCGCGTGCACGCATGCACACAAACACATACACACATGCACGCGCGCGCACACACACACACACTCATAACACCTCAAAGTGAAGTTGTTTTGTCTTTATGATTTTTTTAAAAAATTTCATTTCATGTGTAGTGCCTGATGAGTGTATGTCCTAGTTTCACATGTATATAGGTGTCCATAGATGCCAGAAGAAGGTGTCAGGTCGCCCTGGAACTAGAGTTATGGTTTGGGTTCTCGGGACCAAACCCAGGGTCCTCTACAAGAGGAACAAGAGCTCTTGACCGGTGAGCTCAAAGGGAAATTTATTTTATTTATTTATTTATTTGTTTATTTATTTATTATGTATACAATATTCTGTCTGTGTGTCTGCCTGCAGGCCAGAAGAGGGAATCAGATCTTATTTCAGATGGTTGTGAGCCACCATGTGGTTTCTGGGAATTGAACTCAGGACCTTTGGAATAGTAGGCAATGCTCTTAACCGCTGAGCCATCTCCCCAGCCCCCTCAAAGGGAAATTTTTTATTTGGATTTTAGTCACTATGTCTATCAGTGAAGCTAATATTATGGTTTGAATCTGATGTGTTCCACAGGTTTGGGTTTTAATGCATTTTGCCCAGTTGGTGAAAACATTTTGAGGGGTGAAGGGGCTTGGCGGGTTGAAGCAAATGACAGGTGTGATCTTTAAAGATCAGAGCCTGGTCCCTGGCTCTCACTTCCCTGCTACCTGATTAATCTTGTGAGCTGATTGCCCTGTGATCTGGGTACCATGTTTTGCCCACCATGAAATCCCCAGAAACCGCGAGCCAAGACAAATGGTTCCATCCTCAGGTCGTTTCTAGCGGGTGTTTTGACAGAGCAATGGGACTTTAGCGTAGGGTGGGAATCAGAGTTGCCGTTCTTTGGTAATGTGTTTCTATTAGTAATTTAGTTTATGAACATTATGTTCCCCAAGAAAATTTTCTGACCTAAGCCCCAAGTTATGCCATAGCAGTCTGTACTCTCTATAGCCCCCTCCGCCTTTGTAATTAAATAGTAATTTCATGATTGTTTAGGGTCTGACTTCCTTGCCAAATTGTTTTCCCAATGAAAATAACAGCCAGGTTCATTTAAATCATAACAGTATCCATCAGGGGTTCTTGCCTATAGCAATGCATTCTTTCTGAATGACTTATTCCAGCCACTCACTTATTCATCCATTAATAACTCCAGGAACCCTAGGAAGTGCACTCCACTAAGGAAAACAAACATGAATAGAGTTTCTGCATTCAGCTAAGTGAAGAGAATCTTATCGTCTTAGGTAAAAGCTCCTGTTGGAAACCCAGGAGATCTCTCTAGGATCTAAAGTCAAGGTTTTTCCACAAAATAGACTTGCAGACACTTCCAGCGTCATGAAAAAGATTAAAAATAAAAAAAATGCATTGCTAGCTAGTGGGAGCCCATGGAT